ATTTTTAAAAATGTAATAGCTGACTCAAAAAAGAATGCATAGTTTTGTAACTTGATCTGCATTTTCAAGATACCATCCAAAAGCGTTCTACAGTTTTAAACGTCTTTAGCAGCATATGATTTTGCTTGTTTCCTTGCTTCCCTATCATCACCAGGTCACCCTGGTTTTTAAAGCGGCTAATACTGCTCGTTTGAGACTCCCTGAAATGACAATTCATCACTAAATACAGGAACTTAAAATTGCTTTGATATTTTCTTAGAAATAAGCTTTATCCTTTAAACACTGAATCCTAGAGCCCCTTTTCTTCACAATGGTTTGGTTTGGGCTTTGTCTCCTGTTCCTCAAGTATAGCAGTCATGCTTTCGTATTTCAGAATGGGTTATCTCGTGTGCAGAGCACAGAACCAAGGTCTGTGTTGGCTAGCTGTTTTTGCACTTAGTATTACTTGTTGGGGAATTTAGCTCAAGCCATTTATTCTCTCTTTGTATGAATGTTTCTCAGTCTGAAAATTTGGGAGAATGGTTTTTAGACAAATTATTTTTAAAAGCTTTAGTGAAATAAGCTGTGCATTTAATGTAGTAGCTACTTAGTGCATATTTTTTGATGGGCAGAAGGAAGAAAAAGCTGTTAGGTAATAGTAAGGTTTGAGGAATTTTAATGTACTTTTGAAAAGAATTAAGAACACGTCAGTTTTTACTAATTCAATATATCCTGACTGATTTTGATATCTTAATAAATAACTACATTTTCATTTAAATAGGTTATCTTTGATTTAAATTTCTTCCTATTAATATAAGGAAGCATGTGATTTATTTTAAAATAAGAGAAAACAACAAAGCTTTTTTTGTATTTGGGAAATGGGAAGAAGGGAGGAGACATGTAACCTTGTAGATGAATGTGAAAACTATTAGCCTAATAACTGAAAAAAAACAAACGGCTAGTTTTCCTGTCTCATGAAAAGAATCCTCACCCCACCCCACCTCAATTTGGTAAAAGAAATTGCCATTCTCTTTATTGTCAGAAAAAATAGTCACTATAAGAAAACTACTTGCAAACTGGGTTTTAGAAAGATTTATCAACATATAATCTGGGCAGATGACATGTACAAATTCTGTAATTCAACCATATCTTTTCAAAAATAAATTATATTGATAAGTGATCAGATTGATGTAATATCATTGAATTTTGCTTGAGATACAACAATTTAGCATTTTTAACGTAGAGTTTTTATTAAGATTTTTAAGAATGAATTTAAAAGTATATGCATTCTTATTATGGGCATTTCACTTGCTTTTTAGTTTTGAGTGTGTGATTTGTATTTTTTTTTTTTAATAAAGAAGACCCTAAAATCATGCTGAATTTGATTGTTTTTAAAAATACCTATTTAGTAATGGACCATTAGCACATTAAAATATATATCTGGGAAAATGTAAGTCCACTGGTAGCTTCTAAAATGTACCTACTTTTTTTTTAAACACTTGAGATACTATATATATATATTTAAGTATTTGTATGCACTGGCAACTTGAAGGGGCTTCAGAGCACTGTAATAATGTTGAACTTTCAGTTCATTTACAGCTGTGTCAGTTAAATTTCCCCCAAATAATAAATTCTGCTCAGTCTTGTCTGCTTTATGGCAAAATAAATAAAGTAATCAAATTCTAAGATTATGAGCCCAGTTTTTTTACACCTGGGAAAAATTTGTTTTATGGAATATGGTATTTATTAAATCATGAGCTGTCTGAGTTTTATGTAGAGTTCATTTTTGCTTTTCTCAAAACATATTAGAGATGAGAATACTTTTTCATAGTTTATTGGGAAATTTGTAATAAACAGAAAGTGGCATATAAAATTTAGCATACTTTCTGAGTAATCTATCCTTGACATCCAAATGGGAACGAACAAAATGGGGGTGGGTCACTATAAATACTTTTGTTCTTCGAAACTTCTGGAAAAAATCGTCACCACTCGCAGCTTGATTTGTTACATTTAAATCTTGCCACATACACTTCTTAGGTCCTTATATGTTGTGTATTGAAGAAATCAGTGTTGAGATTTTTCTGTTCATTTCGATTATTGGAGCATTCTGTTCTACTAGCATTAGTACTGACCTATTTATTGGACTCATGCTATGTAATAACTAAAGCATATGAAATTTACTACATTTTGTATTGATTTAATATTAACGTTAATCTAAAATCTTTCAGTGCAGTGTGTCACATCTGTTTTGTATTCCTCTGTTTAAAAGAAGTGGCAGTGTGGTATTTGGAGGAATATTTATTATCTGAGTGTTTTTCTTTGCAACAGTTTTCTCCCAGTCTATTGAGAATTACAACTTCCAAAAGACAGTGAATCACCCAGCAAATTCTCAGGTACCAAACTGTTAAAACCCATAGTTAATTGGAATTTTTATTTACCACTTCATTTCCCTTTACTTAATAGTGGCAATTTTGGAGCCTTTGTGGTAAAAATTTTCTTAGGTATTCTTTTCCCTTAATAGTAGGTCCAGCCTGCACTTCATGGATACTCCAGTTTTTTTAGAAAAAAACTTTGTTAGACTGAGTATTGAGTTGTGTTTGAAACCAAATTTTCTACGACCAGTGACTGAGTATTCTTATCCTGTGATGGTGCTTCCTAACTTTTTGAGGGGTTATGGGTTTCTTTAAGTAATCACTGAAAACTGTAATTCCTTTTACTAGAAAAAAAGTGCATAAACACAAGTGTTTTTTATGCAATTTTAATTAATCCTGTTTCTCTCTATCCAAAAGACCAAGGCCCCCAGGTTAGAAAGTACCACTATTAATGGAACTGAAAAATCCCTTCTAGAGTATTGGTTTTAACATTCTATTATGCCACATTAAGAGTTTTCATCACTTCAAGCTTTCTTTGACATTACATTTTCTCCTTGATCATTATGTAGTAGAAGATAAGCAGAATCTAAATCTTATTTTAGAGAAAAAGCACAATTACCTTTTAATCTTAAAGACTGTCTCTGAAATTATAGAATATATTTGACCTTATACATGCTTTATATTCTACCTTAGACACATAAGAAAGAAAGAAAATGTTTCTTGCTTAAAAATATGTTATTACACTTACTGTTTAGCACAAAAATATGGGTTTTCATTTTAATGAGAGGTTGTGAAGCTATTCAGAAGTTACTTGTGCTGGTTACAAGTTCAGACTTAGGTTTCAAGCAGATTAAGATTCAAATCTAGCTCAATAGCTTACCAGCCAAATGACCTTGGGCAATTACTTCTCTGTTAAAAAAAAAATCACCATGAAAAGATTAAATGAGATATTGTCTATAAAGTAGTTTGTTTAGTACTTTGCGTGTAATATGTACTCAGTTACCTCTTTCTGTATCATGATGATAGTTTTGATGAGGATAACAATTTCAGAGTGTTCATCTTCCTATTATGAAATTCAGGACAGGAGACTTGGTTGCAAAGAAAAAATAATCTTTATATTCACCCAAATAATCTTCTCAGTTCTTGGTGGTTTATAATTGTCAAAGTTCAATCAAGAGTTCTTCAAAGACAGGGGTAGCATACTTTTTCATGGTTTTCTTATTCGTGTTCAGCTGTTACAATGCGGCAATATGTTAAAAGTTATCCACTAAATTTGTCTCACAATTGAAGTAAATATTGAGGAACAGAGAAAGGAAGATGTTTCTGAGAGTGGATTAAAAATCAGGTACAGGGGCAGTGGTTTAGCACCGCCTTCAGCCTAGGGTGTGATCCTGGAGACCTGGGATCTAGTCCCACGTAGGACTCCCTGTAGGGAGCCTGCTTCTCCCTCTGCCTGTGTCTCTGCTCCCCACCCTGTCTTAAATAAATAAATAAAAAGAAAGAAAGAAAGAAAGAAAGAAAGAAAGAAAGAAAGAAAGAAAGAAAGAAAGAAAGAAAGAAGAGAGAAAAGAAAAAAGAAAAATCAAGTACAAACATGTTTCTGCTTTTGAATCTTGACACCTAGATGGTCTTGTGGTAGAGCCACAGGTATCATGAATACTTCGGGTAGATGATGTTTCTTTGCATATTATGTTATTAAGAATACCTCTAACTTAAAAATGTTGAATAAACTGAAAAATAGTGATGTCAAGTACCGTGTACATGTCCGCTATAAAAGACTGTTCTTATTGTGGTTTATAAAATATTCGGAGCCAAAGAAGAGAAGGATGTGTGTGATGCTTTGACTAAATAAATGGCTTAACACCTGCCTGAAATGAAAGCCTTCAAGTTTATTAAAAGGATTATTTCAGACCCTCCTGAAAAGAAGTGGAATAATATCCTGTCTGATCCCTTTCCTATCCACATTGTGGTTGTTCATTATAATTGAGCAATAATCACAGGAGTGTTTATGGCAGTGGTTTCTGTATATATCCATACATGTGCACATATCCACACATATGCACATGCTCTCCACGATGCTTTAGAATGATTGAGTTGGTAGTCATAAGTATTAGTCAACAATAGATTATAAACACGAGAATCTCAGTATATTCTGGAAATTCAAAGTTGGTATTAGAGGAGAGTATCCATTTGTTCATCTATAAACTGTGTCATTACTACTGATAGAATTCATTATGGATTGAAACCTGTGTATTCTGTGAAGAACACAAACCTTACTTGATCACTTTATTTCTGAAAAATTAAATGTTATAGGTACCGTTGAAATATAAAGAGAGCACTTTACCCTGCAGTTTTTTTTTTTTTTTTTCCATAATACCTAGTCTTGGGATTCCTGGGTGGCTCAGTGGTTTAGAGCCTGCCTTTGGCCCAGGGCATGATCCTGGAGTCCTGGGATCGAGTCCCATGTCGGGCTCCCTGCATGGAGCCTGCTTCTCCCTCTGCCTGTGTCTCTGCCTCTCTCTCTCTGTGTCTCTTGTGAATAAATAAATAAAATCTTTAAAAAAAAAAAAAACTAGTCTTATTCATTAATTTTCTTTGACCAAGCAAAAAGTTTGGAAAATGATATTTCCCCCTTTTCTTTCTTCTCAGTATTGTCAGTGAAGCAGGGGCATCAATCTACAGTGTCAGCCCTGAAGCTAACAAGGAGATGCCAGGGCTGGACCCTAATTTGAGAAGTGCAGGTAAGAAACAATGCTGTCACAAAAGCATGTGGGTTTGTTATTTTGAGGGACTTCTCTTTTTAGCAAGCAAAATAATTAAATGTCCAAATTTAATTTTCGTAAATATTTAGGAAATATATACATAAAAATTAGCACGTTAGAATGAAAAGTATTGGAGTAATAATTAGAACTGTGGAAGAGGAAGAATATTGTTTTTTAAAGAGTATAGTAAAAAATTAGTCCAAAACAACCTTAGTAAAATTAAATGCTTTAATAAAACTAATAAAGTACTCCAAATCTCTTATTATTATACAAAATATTTTTTATTACAGCTTTTTATGAACAAAAATTAGCATTTCGGGCAGCCCGGGTGGCTCATCAGTTGAGCGCTGCCTTCGGCCCAGGGCCTGATCCTGGAGACCCGGGATCAAGTTCCACATTGGGCTCCCTGCATGGAGCCTGCTTCTCCCTCTGCCTGTGTCTCTGCCTCTCTCTCTCTCTCTCTCTCTCTCTCTCTCTCTCTCTCTCTCTCTCATGAATAAATAAATAAAATATTTTTTAAAAAAAATTAGTATATTAACATAAATATAGTACAAATATATAAACATGCACGGTTTATTGCTAAATATTTATCAAATGACCAGTTTTTCTTGTCTTGCTTATAGGGGCAGTCATTAACGTTTAAAACAGACTGCTTTGATTTTAGTTGTATTAAGTTGCTTTGGTTTCTGTTTTGTGGAATAGTTAAAATCTTGTGTGTGAAGAAATTGAGATATTTTGATACGTCTAGTGAAAGCAATTTGTGTTATAAGCAAAATATTAAATCTGGTCAGAGCACTTCTACATGTAATAGATATTTAGACTACTTTGTTAGAAAGAGACTTTTTATTTAAAATTTTTCCTTACCTATTCTCATCAAGTTTCATTGGCTACTCTTGAAATCTATACTTGAGAAGATACATATTTGAAAATTTTTGCGTTTGCCTGAGGCTAGAAACCTATTTCTTACATCCAAAAGAGCTTGTAGTTTCCTTTCACTTGTTTGTTCCATGATACCATTACCTGTCTAAAATGATCAGCTTCTCAAACTCAGATCCCAGCTCAAAATCTTGGTCCTCCTGTGAAGCTTTTCCCTGTCACAGCAGCTCAATGTGGTCTCTGCCTCCTTGCCATGTGCTCTTTTGATACCTACCTTGTAATAACAATAACATTAATAATAGTAGTAGGAGGAGATATAGTAATCATAGTGGGAGCTGCTAATACTAATCTTTTTAAGCACCTAATATGTGTGAAACATTATGGTTAATGTGTTACCAGGTTTATTTTGTTTTATTTTCATAAACCGAATCTTAAAGAAGCCACATAACCACATTATAATTATATAATGCACATAAGTGCATATATAATACTTGTGTACTTCTATAATAGGATATTTTATTAAAAAAATAAAATTCAAGGGTTCCTGGGTGGCTCAGTCACTTAAGTATCCAGCTCTTGATTTTTGTCTCAGGTCATGCTCTCAGGGTTCTGAGATTGATCCCCACATTGAGTCCACGTTGAGTGTGGAGCCTGCTTAAGATTCTCTCTTTATATCCCTCTGCCCTTCCCCCCCACCTCCACTCATACATGTGTGCTCTCTCTCAAAACATAAAATAAATCAGAACCTTTTAAGTTGGCACTGAAAGGTAATCTTCCAAAAAAACATTTGAAAGAAATATTGCTTAGAGAGTGGCAATCTCTCAGACCTTCCACTGTTAAGGGGGCTCTTGTTTCCTCTTCACCACTGGCCTCTGTGGATACATAACTGCCAATAGAGTTATAGAGCAAGATTACAACATTCTAACAAGACTCTGAAACTAGGAAATAATAAAAAAGAGGAATCATTATATGGTCCGAATTACTTAGATTCTCAATTCTGGCTGTGTCTTCAATTTGGGATTCACTGCGATATATCTTCCTTCTGTGTCTTAGCTTGCTTTCACACGGCAATAACTGATTGTGTTTGATCCATATCAACTCAAAACATCCACCTAGACATTTTGAGCCTTCAAGAACTGGTCCTGGAGGCAAATTTGAAAGAAGCTCAGTCTCCACTCTTGGTTTTCTAGGGTCCACTTCTTTGTCAATTCCTCATTTCTGATTGGAAGTCCTTCTCTTTCCTAGTGATTGATACCAGGGATGACATTTGAGACCTATCCTACTGATGAGTGTGGGTTTTCCTTTTCAGCCCTCCACAAGTGTATCAGAATATAACAGAACCTTAATGTTCATACAGTGTTAACATATGTAAGAAGGTGACCTTCATATTACTGTATCTTCTTGACCAGTTTGTCAACTTACTGAGAGAGATTATCTTTATATTTGCTTATAGTTCTCCCATAATAAATTCATTATACATGAGAGGCATTTAAATTGGATAGACAAAATGGTAGATAGGTGATATTAAAATGTTTATTATGGATTTCTGACTTAAAATAGAAGATTGAGTACACCTGTTATTCCTTTACTCCCTTCTGAACTCCCAGTAAAGTGACAGTAACATGATAGAAGGAAGGCACAAACATTCTAGGACAAGAATAGGAGAGGAAAGATCAGCAACAGTCATTTTGAAGCAGGAAAGCAGATGGCTGAATAATAAATGATTTAGCCAACTTGAGAAAATTGAATACTAAGACAACATAGAAAACCAGAACTAATCTGAAATGATCATGGAACCCTTATAGGTTCAGGAAATGCACCAGATTACTTATAGAAGTATCTTGGGAGGGTTGCAGGTAGGTCTAAAGTAAGAAGATTGATTGAAAGTTCTGTGTAGAAAGCAGTTAGACCAAGTTAAACATAGAATACCACGTAACCCAGCAATTGTCCTCCTAGGTATATGCTCAAAAGAGTTGAAAACAAGGATTCATAGCACCATTCACATAGCCAAAAGCTGGAAACAACCCAAATGACCATCAGTGGATAAATGGCCAAACAAAATGTGGTACATCCAAAATGGTATATTATTTTTAGTCATAGCAAAGAATGAAGTATGACATATGCCATAACATGGGTGAACCTTGAAAACATGCTAAGTGAAAGAAGCCAGACACAAAAGGCCACATATTGTATGGTTATATTTCTATGAAATGTCTAGAATAGGGTAGCCTGTAGGAGCAGAAAGCTGATTAGTCATCACCAAGGACTGGGAAGAGGGGAAAATGAAGAAGGACTGCTTAATGGGTACAGAGTTTTCTTTTGGGGCACTGAAACTGTTTTGGAACTGATAGAGGTGGTAGACTGTACAACAGTATAAGTATCCTAAATGCCACTGAATTGTACACTTTGAAATAGTTAATTTTATGTGAATTTCACATTAATTAAAAAAAAACAAACAGATTTCCCATTCCACGCAGTTAAGTGACTGTCCTTCTTGCACCTTTGCAGAATACTGGAGATTTTTTTCTCTGCTGAGGGTTAAACAGAAAGTCTCTTTCCTGGAGGACACAGGTTGTACATGATAGTGGAGATACCTACTGAAAAAAGAGGGATTAGATGACTATTTATATGCTGATGTAGAGGTCCTGGAGAGGACTAAATCTTCCATGCAGGAGATAGGGGAATTCTGACCTACTCAGGAGAAAATACCTAAAAAAACTAAGATCAGAGGTCCACAAGAAATGTACCAAATCTCCATGTTATGAAGCCCACAATTGATAAACTTCACATATTTAAGCAAAGCACTTAGAGTCAGTAGACAGCCAAGGGTCACCTAGCATGTAAAGAAACTTACACTATTAAAGACAGATGGGGGGTAGTATGGAAGCCACTTGGAGGAAATGAAGACTATATAAAAGGAAGAAAAACTTTTACATCCTTAGAGAAATGAAAGATATTTCACTCATTTAAATGAAGTTGACGTAAAGTACAGTTCACCTTTTTTAGATGAGTTTTTAAATTCATCTGTGAATTTCAGTAAGCTTAAATCAGTCAGGTAACCACAACCACTAACACTATAATCAAGATAAAGATTATTTTTATTAGGTCAATGGTTTTGTCCACATTTTTTCAAAAATGTAATTATTAATTAGAGGATCAGTATCATTTATTGAAAGTACATTTTAATAAGCTTTATAATGAAAAAAATTCTTATTTGGAGTTGCTGAATGAAAAAAGCACAGGAAGTCTTATTTATCCTCCTCTGTTGCTGTGTGATGACAAGGGGAGGGGTAAAATGAGGGGCATATTGGACTTGACAAATAAAAATTTCTACTTTAGTATTCTTAGATAACAGAATATGGCAAACATTTAAGAGAATACAGTTTAGTCCAGTCTTTTAAGCAGTATGTTCATTTGTTTTGGAAGCTCAGAGATTCTAGATATTTCATAGAACTGAAGACCAAAACCCACGGAACTCTTTTAATCCTTTGGATATAAGACACATTTTGCATGAGGGGGGAATGGTGCTTCCAGGGTCACTCCACATGGTTGTGTATGTAGTTGAGCCCTGTATATCCTGCCTGACCCTATGAGGTCTCTCCGGTTGCTTACAATTTAGCCCTCAGTCCGTGGTCCCCTCCCCTTCCCTCCTTTTGGTGTAACTAACCTGTTTTTTTCCCTCTAATGCCTCACTTGTTCAATAGCAGTTTAGTTGTCTCCCTTTACACAGAGTTACATTGTTACCTTTTAACAAATTATCATATATTAAAAACTAAATTCCTGTATGGATTTTGTCCTATTTTCATTGGTCTGTCTGATGTGCCACAGTGTCAAGACTCAATTACTGTAGCTAATGATGTGACTTGCTTTAATCTTTCTTTAATTGCGCTTTTCTTATGCATTTCCTTTTTTCCATATACATTTTAAGCCATTTAATTGGAATTCTGTTATATTGGCACCTTCATCCAAGTTCTGTACACTTTATTACTCATAGGCAAAATACACACACACAGAGTAAATGGATTGTCCTTCATGAAATTTTCTTATTGGCTGTTGATGGCATATGGTGCTGCATTAGTCGTTGTCTTGGTATCAACCAATTGAAATCTTGTTAGTTCTGATTTTTTTTTTTTTTTCAGTTGATTTGCTTGGGTTTTCCAAACTAGTCATCAGGCACTTGGGTGGTTCAGTGGTTGGGTGGGCATCTCCTTTGGCTCAGGGCATGATCTCAGGGTTCTGGGATCGAGTCCTGCATCAGGCTCCCCGCAGGGAGCCTACTTCTCCCTCTGCCTATGTCTCTGTCTCTCTCTCTCTGTGTCTCTCATGAATAAATAAATAAACTCTTTAAAAAACAAAGTAGTCAGCCAACATCTGCAAATAATAATCTAGTTTCTGTCTTTTCGATAATTATGCCGCCTTTTTTCCTTGTCCAATTGCATTGACTAGAATTTCCTGAACAGTGGTGATTAGGAACAGATACAGAGATATGTTGACATCATGTGGGCAAAGTGGTATTGGCATACGTTTGGATATACTACATTTAAAAAATATAGAACAGCTTCATTGAGATATAATTTACATAGTATAAAACCTGCCTGTTTAAAGTGTGTAAGTCAGTGTTTTTTTAGTACAGTCAAAATTGTACAACCATTGCCACTATCCAATTTTAGAACATTTTCATCACTCCAGATGGAAACCTAGCATCCATTAGCAATTGGTCCCCCTTGCCCTCTTACCCTCAGCTCCTGATAAATACTAATCTATTTTCTGTCTCTATGGATTTGCCTATTTCAGACATTTCATATAAATGGAATCATTACAAGATGCAGTCTTTTGTAACTGGCTTCTTTCACATACCATAGTGTTTCCAAAGTTCATTCACACTGTAGCATGTATCAGCACTTCATTCCTTCCCATTGCCAAATAATTTCCATTGTATGGGTATACCATATTTTGTTCATCCATTCTTCTGTTAATGGATATTTGGGTTTTTACTTTTTTGGCTGTTATAAATAATGCTGCTGTGAACATTCATGTACAAGATTTTACGTGGACATCTGTTTTCATTTTTCTTGAGTGTATACCACACAAGAGTAAAGATTGGGGGACATATGGTAACTATGCTAAACATTTTCTAGAATTTTTCTTTTTTTTTTTTTTTACTTCTGTTGCTGTTTTCCTCGCTATTTTTTCTCTACCTCTTTCACTGTGTCCACCTTTTCTTCTCTGTCTCACAATGTGAATATGCCCCAAGTTTTGGGTTGTGACTCTTCCTTTCTCTTTGTTCTCTTTATTAACACTCCATAAAACTCCTTTTATGTGAGCTACCTATCTGTCTCTTACTTTCAGGAATCTGTTGTCAGCCTAATCATTCTCAACCTACAGGTGTGTGTTACTACTGTTAATTAACTCCTTTCTTGCTTACCTTGCCAGCACCATCTTCTCTTGAAAGCCTGGACATAGAATTTCCAGTTCTACTTTATTTTTTTTTAATATTTTTTTATTTATTCATTCATTGGAGACACAGAGACAGGCAGAGACATAGGCAGAGGGAGAAGCAGGTTCTCTGCGGGGAGCCTGATGCAGGACTTGATCCCAGAATCCTGGGATCAAGACCTGAACTGCAGGCAGACTCTCAACCAACCACTGAGCCACCCAGGTGTCCCTCCAGTTCTACTTTAAACAATGTTTATATTCCCTCCCTCATGAACAAGAAAATCCTTCAAATAAACAATGTTCATTTTCCTTCTTCCTTCTATCTCCCATCTCTTCATGTTTGAGTTCTTATGCTCTGCAGAGTGAGTAGCATGAGTGAGTAGCACCTGAAGGTGAAATGCCAATTCTGGGAACATTAGGGTCTATGTAGAGGTTGTTTATTGGGGACAGTGTAACTCCAGAGGCTCTTAGGTCTTTACTGGAAAATTAATATGTCATCTAGATACTATTATTTCCAGTTCATTGTTGCTGTGTTTAGCAATATCAGGATGCACAAAGGAAATGCTAGCAGTGAACCAATTAGGAGGGAACCAGGTAGAAAATATGTCAAAGTCCTTTTCTGTACTTAAATTTTTTTAAAAAATATGGAAATCTACTTGCACTTAACAAATTATACAACTGCACTATCAGTTTCTAAGTTTAGATGTTCATAATGTAGGTTTTCCTGAACAGGTAGATTTGAAAGATTTGCCTCTTCTTAATATCCTTTTTTTGAATTTCTGATACTTTCCTGCAGTGAATGTTCTGATGCCTGTAACTTTCACTTGGTTTACTCTCGTGGGTTGTTGGGTTGTTTTTTTGTTTTTTTTTTTTTAATCTGAAAGTATTTTGACAATGTATATATGTGTTTGAAAATCAGTCTTATTGGATTATGTTTTTAAAGGCTAGAATAAAGAAATGATCTTTGCTTTCAGAGACTATCAGATGTTTCCCTGGTGGCATCTATTCTCACTGTGTAATTATGCATGTGATTAGTGGAGGGGAGCAGCTTCCCTGTAACCTGCAGTGCTTGCACTCATTAACCTTTTTTGAGGTTTAATAAGAAAGTGTATGTGAAGGCCTTGGAGGCTGGAGTCCGCCTCTTTTGGTGGGGATAGCAGATTGTATGATACCAGTTTATTACTCTCTAAGCTGGCTTTGCAAACTGCAATTGTCACTGTATGTTAGAAGTAATAATAAAATATATGAAAAAGACTTGAACGACCATGCAGTGAACTGAGCACACAGAGTAGGTCTTATCTCTGATGAAGAGGTGGTACAAATCAGTGACAAGAGAATTCGACAGTCCAATGCAAGAGGTGTCATCTGTTGCCAGAGTTTGAACAGTTAAATAACACAAGAACAGGCATGAGATCTCCTTTGATAGCCTTAATGTTTTCACTAAATGAGTTTATATTTCATCCAACTTTCTGTATGAGTAGATGACACTGACTAGCTTTCTCGCATTTAGAAAATGAAAGCTGTTTCTAAGGACCCCATGTAAAACTATATTACTTGGGGAAAGAAAAAAAAAGAGCTGCCCTTGGAAGCATCCTTAATATTCATACTAAATTTGTTTTCTCCAGCTAAATCTATCTTATAAGCTAAATTAGATATGAACTTTTGTTAACATTTTGTAAAAAAAAAAAAGAGAGAGAGAGGGAGAGAGAGAAATGATGACCAAGGAAGAATGGACAACAGATAAAGTAATGTTAGAAGCTGACTCAAAATCTCTTGTACGTGGATTGTGCTGGTCAGGAAAGCAGTGTGATTTAGAACTGAATTTAGTGTGTCCAGAGACAAGCAGTTGTGACTCCGATCATTTCACAGTTAATCTTGCAGTCATATTTAAGGCAAAACAAGTGTGTTCACTAGCCAACTGACTTGGTCTCTGATTGCAGTAAAATATGATTCCATCAGTTACTCATCACTATCATGATCTAGTCCTAATAACATATTTGATTTGCAAATGTATGTCATAATAAAGCAGGATTATTTAAAAGTAAAACAAATATATACTTGTTCATTTAAGTGTGAGGTGCCCTGCTATGCTGTGTTTAAAGAATGAACAGGTGATTATGTAACTATAGCAAGTAAGCATTTTATTTGTTTTTCCACTGTATTATCTTTTCAATCTGTTTGTGCTCAGAAATGCCTACATATTCTGGTAATAAAATTAATCCCGAAATTTTGCATTCACTTTTTTTGTGTGATAAAATGGAAACTTTGATACTTAGTAGTTAAATTGTTGGTCTCTGTGTGGGAAAAGAGGGAAGGAATTAAATACTTACTTTATAAGGGACTAACATAAGTAATTACCTGGATACTGCTTTTCACATTAAGCCATACTTATTTTCTGTTTTTTCAGTTTCCATAGCAAGGCGCGTACAAGACCCATTAGCTGAGCTGGTGAAAATCGAGCCAAAGCACATTGGAGTTGGAATGTACCAGGTAAAGCAGTGTGGGTCATTTACTTTGTGAAACCTGTCAATAGTATGCAGACTTGGCGTAGTCATTAAGTGTCGGTGGGAATAGCTTCCCATTCTCAGAGGTTACACGGTTGATGGGAAGGTAGTTAGGAGTTACGTTATTAGGGAAGGAGGGAGTTTTTTTTTTTTTTTTCCTGGTGTTTATGGTTTGGATCAAGATTCAGAATTGACTGTAGTCAGATTTTAAGACTATTAAAACATTAGATCAGACTAGTAACTTAATCCAGAGAGCCTCTCCCTTTCACATTATTATAAAAAAGCAGAGGAAACAGAGCAAGGGGGATGGGTTGGCTCTTTGTGTAAGCCAGTATGAAATATTGATCTTTATTGACCATTCTGGAAGAAGCCTTTGGTACCTACTTTATTTCTTTTTTTCTGTTTCCTATTTCGATTTGAGTATTATAATGAGTTTTTGGTCATAACCTAGTATGAGCTAGAGCCTTAGCAGTAATGGTAGTGGTGCTTGTTGTTGTTACTGAATTTTTAGTTCTTGAATTTACGTGTGTTCATTGGGCAGTTGAAGACAACACTAAATCTTGGCAAAGTGAATCCATTGTAGCTTGTCTTCAGAAAGATCAAATTGAATTATTTTTCTCTTCGATGAAAGTCTGTTTAAAATCTGAAATAAAACAATATCTTCTATGTAGTTTTCATGGGACTTGAGTGATAGGTTCTATACTTTTCTCTAAGAAATATATTAGGGCATGGAATCTGTGACCACTAGAAATGGAAGAGATGTTAGAAATCATATACCCCTACCCCTTCATTTGATGGAAAAGGAAGCTGTGTCCTACAATAGTTAGGATTTTTACCCAGAATCACACAGTGGCAAAGCCTGGACTAACCTGTCACATATGGGCTTAACTAGAAGTATTCCCATTTTATAGCAAGTTAGAGTAAAAGGATCTAGACCTTTGAGTTGACCTGTTCATTTGGGAAGGATAGTTGCTTAAGAGACAGATCTAGCTATACAGATAGATAGAAATGCCTAGTATGTAATGAGTATAACTGTTACAGTTTTATGATACAGGCATTGTAGTTAAGAGGAATTATAACTATTAATTTAAGATAAAATTATAGAATGCCTGAACAAAATAGTAGAACAAAGAAAAAGAAAGGAGAAGTCAGATTCCTAGAACCCAGACAGGTTACTAAGCTATTGACCCCCAAAGAAATCTTTACTAAATATAAATAGCAGAGACTTAACCTCTAGATTTATCTGAGATACAGCACTTAACATGAAAGAGTTTGGAATTTGTTCCAATAGCAGTGAGAAGAAATGGAAGAGCTTTAAGCAAGGGAATGATATGATCTTATTTGTATTTTTAAACATTGGCTCTGGCTAATCTTGGGACAGTAGCTTAGAAGGGAAAAAGAGAAGCAGTAAGACCAATTCAGAGGCTGTTATACTAGCTCAGGTGAGAGATGATGGGAGAAATGGAAAGAAGTTAAATCTATTTTGTAGGGACTACTTGGTAGTAAGTGGAGGAAAGGGAGTTGTTCAGAATTTGCTCCAGGGGTCCTGGTATGTGGCTAATGCCTGACTAGAGCAGATTTTGTGGGGATAAGATCAGTAATTCAGTTTTGGATGTGTTGAGATGCCTGTAAGAAATCCAAGAAATATCAAAAAGAAGTTGGATATGCAAGTCTGAGATTTAGAGGAATGGCCATTTAATTGGAGTACAGACTTTGGCAAATGATGACACTGAGAAAGTCATCAAGATGGTAACGCTGAACTTATGATATCCTTTACTTATGCTACCACTACTACTGGCATGTCCACAACTCCACCTTCTAGAAAATGACAGAGAAGGAGCACATACATATTTGTGTTCATATAAACATACTTACATGAAAAATTTATAACCTGGGAAAACAAGAAGGGGTTGGTGGATAAAATTTCAGAAATTCCTGAAAGATACTAAGAATGAGGAATCATATCCATGGGGATAAAACCTGGTAGAGCTGCAGCTCAAAATATACAGATCAATAGTGTTCTCAAACTAGAGTCATGTTTAAGTAGTGGGTAGGGGGCCTGTACTATTAGAAAAGGAGGTGCATATGGAGTAAGTAGGCCCATAGTGACCCCTTCCCTCCATGTCCTGTGAATTCAAGCTCAAGCACTGGGTATAACCCTGAGACCAGAGAGAGGCTGGGAGATCCCTCAAGTAGCCTTTGCTTGTCAGGAAGCTCAAGGAGTCTCGCATGCTGGGAAGACAAACTCCTGGCACATACCTGACACCTGACATCATATCCCACATTCCCCACATTATCACTGGATTCAGATGATGGTAACAAAAAACAGCATACACAGACAAATGGGGACTCTGGAATGATCTTCTGCTAAGAATCACTGAACATTGAAGAAAACTTACCATAGCAAAATGAGGCACCAAATGTAATAAGCAAAAAATAAGAATGAAACCATGAATAAGCAGTAGACTTTGAAATAAGTAAAATGAATATTCACAGAGAGATAAGTGAGGTTATTGTATGTATAAAACAAACCAAGGATAGAATGAATTAATAAACCAGTCTTAGAATTAAAAGATATGTTTGTCAAGATGAAAAACAAACAAACTGACTAAATAGAATGGACATAGATAAAAAAAACAAATTAATGAATTGAATAATCAAGTTAAGAGATTCTTTAGAATATAGTCTTAAATTGAGAAAAGTGGGCAGTATAAACAAAAGGTCATATGATATAGAGGCCATTTTAAAGATTCAACATTCATCTCATAGAAAATTCAAATAAAAAGAAATGGAGGAAAGTTATAATCACCGACATAATAGGAGGAGGTTTCAGCTGTAATGTGTGCAAGATACTTATAAAGAAAAAAGGAATCTTGACATTAGAAATTTGGAGAAAAATAGTTCCACACAAATGAAAAAGAAAGTCATAGTACTGCTAATATCAGACAAAATAGAATTTTAGGCAAAATGCATTGAACAGGTCAAGGAGGGATATTTCATATTAATGACAGTTTCCCAAGAAGATGTAATTGCCCTGAACATTCTATGTTATCTAACAACATAGCTTCAAAAAATGCCGTATTAAAGACTTCTAAAATTAGAGCAAGAGACCAATTCACTTTTTTTATAAGTCTTAAAAGATTATAGTATATTAACACAAAGCATTTTAAAAACAGCTTTATTGAGTATAAACACATATTGTACATACATACATATGTAAATTCACCTATTTAAAGTGTACAAGTCACTGAATTTTCATTCAGTGGGTTGTGAAACTATTATCACTAAGTTTTGAACATTTTCATCCCCCAAAGGAAACCCAGTGTCCATGAGCAGTCATCTCTACCACCCCGTCATCCCCAGCCCTAGGCAATTGATTACTCATCTACTTTGTTTCTATAGATATGTCTATTCTGGATATTTCATTTAAATAGAATTATATAATATGTGGCCTTTTTGTAACTGGCTTCTTCTACTTATAATATTTTAAAGGTTCACCCATGCTGAAGCACAAGTCATTACTTCATTTCCTTTCTATGGGCAAATACTATTTCATTGTATGTGTATAATACCACATTTTGTCTATCCATTCATTGGTTGGTGGAAATTTGGGTTATTTCCACTTTTTGGCTGTTATGAATAATGCTATTATGAACATTTTGTACAAATTTTTAAGATGTGTTTTCACTTCTCTTAGATATATATCTAGAGCATGTTTGCTAAGTCATTTGACGCATAAATTTAAAGCCAGATGATGAACTAGGGAAATTATTTGCCACAAATGTATATATCTACAAAACTATTTTATGGGGGATCCCTGGGTGGCTCAGCGGTTTAGCGCCTGTCTTCGGCCCAGGGAGTGATCCTGGAAACCCGGGATCGAATCCCACATCAGGCTTCCTGCATGGAGCTTGCTTCTCCCTCTGCCTGTGTCTCTGCCTCTCTTTCTCTCTGTATCTCTCATGAATACATAAATAAAATCTTAAAAAAAAAACTTTTATTATTAAGGTTTGGTGTTTCCTTGTTGATTTGTATGCAATTATACGTTGGTATAAGTAAAATATTTACAAAAGATATATAAAGAGCATCTAGACACCATTTATCTTAGATGAAATAAAAATTTTTCTTTATCAAAGAAACCCGTATTAAAGGGATATTATTTCAATCTAAAATTGAGTAAAGTTGCAATAAAATGACAAACATCTTTGCAAGTGAGGATACAGTGAAATGACCAACACTACTGATAGAAGTATAAATTGTTATTTCTAGCAAATAATACCAATCAAGATGCACTTTTAAAGAATGCATCCCATTGACCTGGTAGTTCTCCCTTTAAAGATCTCTTCTAAGGCAGTATTAAGAACTATTGATAAGATTTATATACAAGTTTGCTGATTAACAAAATTATTGGAAGCAACTACAAGAGAATAGTATATCCAGTTGAAATGTTATACAACCATTAAAATATAGACTTTCAAAGAGGTTTTAATGACATGAGAAATTGCTTTATTTTTAAATTGCAATGAATTTGTTGATACAGAATAAAACCAATTCTGTTTCAAAAATGTAGATATACATTTATATCAAAGAAAAGAAAACCCTGCTAGTGACTGGTATTTATATTTTTGTTGGTGTGATTAGGGGATTTTATTTTCTTTCTAGTTTTTTCAAACTTTGTATAGTGAATATGTATGAGGAAGAAATTGTTATAAAATATATATCTATGTCCATATTCTAACCAATGGGCTGCTTCATTTTAAGCCTTGATATAGTAGACTTCCAGTATATCCAGAGTGGGACTGATTTCTTTTTAGTTCTTTAAGTTCTTTAGGAACCTCTAAATGCTTTTAGTATAAATTTAATATTTATATTTATTCTGATTTAAAATGCAAGTAAATGGATAAACATTGTTGATTTTAAAAATGAAAGCTATTCAAAGAAAAGAATGTTAAGTACTTAGATGAAATAATAGAAGTTATAATATTA